TTCAGGTCATTTGGAGTGATATTGGCCATTTGGTGCACAATTAATCCGAAATCGGTAAAAAATATATATGGGAGCTATATCCAAATGTGACCCGACCTTGATCTAGTTTGGCAGAAGTATTTCTGGTCACCAAATTTGATGTAATTGCTTCTGGACTGAATTCGCGCTGATGTGCCAAAATTCAGGTCAATTGAACTGATATTGGGCATTTAGTCCAACATTAACTCGAAATCGGTTGAGGATATATATTGGAGCTGTATTTAAATTTGAACCGATTCTCACCAATTTGAACAGTGTTCTCGGGCCAAACAAATATTGTTTGCAAAATTTCATCTTATTGGGATAATAAATGCGACCTGAATTTTATTCACATAAATACATGGACGGACGGACTGACATGCATAAATCGATTAAAAAAGTGATTCTATAAAGATCTTTTATAGCAACTATGGGTCTATCTCGCTTCCTTCTCCATGTTACAAACAAAAGCACAAATACATGATAATGGTATATGCAAATCTTAAAGAAAATTAAAGACTTATTTCTAAGTTTATGCGAAATATTGTTAATTAAATTGCTATACTTTTGTAGAGGAGATCCGAGAAGAAGACGGCCGATAAATCCCATCTTTACACCAAATCTCTCGTTAGTAAAAATCTGATTTTATGAGCGATAGTTTATGAGGGGGAGTGGATAGAGGATATAGCGATATATGTCGTCTTCACACCTGTTATTGTGTTAACCAAAACATTGTGATATCCGAAATTTTAAGATAATCGGACGCTTGTCTCGCATTTTATAGGATTTGTAATTATTCCAAATTTGGAACCTTTTTACCCATTGTGGGGAAGGTACTTGATGGTGTGGGCCGATATTGCCCACTTTTGCACCTGATCTAGCTCTCCTGTAGATATTAGGATTTGCAAAGTTAGCAAAAAATCGAATAATAATGAGGTAAATTATTTTCTTTTAAAATTTTGATCTTTTGTGGGAGTGGTATCAGAAGGATTGAACCGATATTGAATATTTAATATCGTAACCTATAGCAAATAAACGAGCATGTTGGAAATTTTGGTATTAATTGCGTATTTAGGCATTATAATGGTTTAAATTTGAAATAGGTTAAATCTAACCTATGAAAGCTATATATTAATCGATTTCCACTAAACCGGACTGAGGTAAATATATGTTGACTGTGACATCTCGAACCAAACATCGTTCCAATGGGGTGCAACTTTATTTGGTCAAATTTAGCGTCCTTGATGTATTATTTACATGATGTAAATATATTTATGAAAGATATGTGAACCAAATCTGAAACGATAACGATAAGTCTTACAAAGGGTATGCTTAGGATACCTAATGTGGTATAAAATCGGATGAAACTTATATATGGGAGCTATAGCTACATCTCTACCGATTGAAACTTGAAATCGGCAAAAAGATATATATGGGGGCAATATCCAGATCTGAACTGATCTTGATAACATTTGGCAGAGGTATTGCTGAGCTGTACCTGATGTCTGGTACCCATTCTCATTGTTGTGGAGTGCATAATACGAATGTCGGGGTATTTGAATTTGATTTTTACCAAAATTTGTAGCAATTGCTTTTAGGCTGATGTTCTGAAATACATCCTATTTGGACGAACATTACACATATCGCACAATAAAATTTAAATCGGACGAAGATGTGACCGATATACGGTCGGAATCGATCCAGAATGTGGTTTTGTGATGATCATCAAAAAGAATTATGGGTCTATCTCGTTTTTTGTTGCTTATTAGAAATAAATGCACAAAGGCATAATAACCTGTACCTCAGCGTGTTGTCGGGTATAATTACAATCGGCAGCTTGGATCAACTATCAGGTTGGTATTGGATATGAGATATATCGGTCCACGTTTTGGAATAGCCGCCATATAACGGTACCTCTCGACATTCGGTATTTTAATGATTCTCGCCACATTTTTCACGCATTTATGAAAAAGTTGGTATTTGTAGGTCATATTTGGTTTCAGTTCCGATGCCGAAACATTGTGTATATATGTCCACGTTTTTGAATAGCCCCCATAAAACGGTAAATCCCGATATTCAGTATTTTTATGATTTTCGCCACATTTGTTCACGGATCTGACTAAAAGGTGGTATTTGTAGTTCGTAATAGGTTCTAACTTCGGTGGCGGTACATTGTATCTATAGGTCCACATTTTCGTACAACCCCCATATAACGGTACTTCCCGATGTTCGGTTTTTTGATAACTTTTGCCTTAATTTAAACGGATTTGTCTAAATATTGGTATTTGTAGTTCATAATGGATTCTAGCTCCGGTGGCGGTATGCATTGGTACCGGTGGCGAAACATTGTATGCCCAGGTCCACATTTTGGTATAGCGCCAATATAACGTACCTTCCGATATTCGGTATTTTGATGATTTTTGCCACATTCTTTCATGTATTTATCCTAAAATTGTGGAAGAACACTTTTTTCCGATAATCGGTGTTTTTATGAATTTTGCTACATTTTTCCACGGATTTGTCCAAAAATTGGTATTTGTAGTTCGTAATGGGTTCCAGCTCCTGTGGCGAAACATAGTATGTGTAGGTCCACATTTTTTTATGTAGCCTTCACATAATGGAACCTCCGGAAATTCAGTATTTTGATATTTTTGCCACATTTTCCACTGTTTTGTCTAAAAATATATTTGTAGTTCATAATGATTTCTATCTCCGGTGGAAGAACATTGAAAATTTTGATTCACTTTGTGTTGTAGCGCACATATAACGATACCCAGCGATACTCGGTATTTTAATTATTCTAGTCACATTTACCCCCGAAACTGATTCTAATTTGGTATTTAAGAAGATTTGGTAGATTAAAGTCCTTGGTATTTGGTTACTGGTATTCGTAGTTTGAAGTGGAACTCGTTTGAACTCAGTCACTTTTATAAAAAAATGTCTGTCCGTCTATCCGTCTGTGCAAATCACTCTAGCTTCCGAACGAAATGAAGTAGGTTGATAAAATTTTACTCAAATGTGTATTATAACTGCAGGACTTTTGGTATTGAAAATGGGTCTTGTAGGTCCACGTTCAGGTATAGCCCCCATATAACGGTACCCCCCGATATTCGGTATTTTGATGATTTAGCTACATTATTTAGCGGAAATGTTTCAAATTTAGTATTTGAAGTTCGTAATAGGTACTACCGCCTATGACGGAAAATTTTCTTTGCAGGTCCACGCCCCCATACCTCGCGATATTCGGTATTTTGGTGATTTTGGCGACATTATTCACCGATTTTTTTATTCAAGTTTCGCATGTGAATATTGTAATGGTTTATGACAAATGCTGTCTATGCAGGTCCACGTTGTCGTATGGACCTTAATATAACGGCTACATTCGGTTTATTGGATTTTAACAAAATTTTTATCGGATTTTATTTTTTAAAAACTGTCAAAATCGTTCTAATCGGTGGAGAGTATTCAAAGATCGACCTGGTCGAATTTACAGCTTTCTTACTTGTTTTTTATTTTTGTTCCCACGAGTGAGCCGAAAGGGGTTGGAATATCGTAAATTTGGATGGATACCAGGTTAGTTACTCAAATCTTTAGCCCTTCACATCTTTGAAATTTAAAGATTGTATCTTTAAAGGATCGGTATATGCAGAACACTTTGTTTTCCCATAACTATTGTTATTGAGGATATTGGTTTCGCACATAGGGAAGTATATATGGATCTTCCTATCTCGCCGACCTGAGTCGATCTAGCTGTGGTCGCAATTATAGTCCAATCCTCACGAAATTGAAAATGTAAGTGGGTTTTGGTCAGAATAGAAGCCGATTGCTTTTGGAGATGATTGCATAATATTTTGGGGTTTAAATGGTCCAAAAATGGAAAATTTTCCTGATTTTGCAGTTGCTCTACAGTTCGCAATTATGGACCAATCGACGAGGAAGTTAGCATGAGGCTATAGCTTAGGGCTATACAGAAGCCTTGCAATTTGGATGGTCATCGGGTAATATTTAGTGGGTGAAATAGACCATAACATTTCACAAATAGACGGAAGGGTCAATTCTGACCGTTACGTAGATGCCGACAGTAAATATATGCGATATATAAGGGTAATTTCTGGGCCGATAGATGCCGATAGTAAATATATTGGATATATAAGGGTAATTTCTGGACAGTTCTCTATGACATTATTTCAAAAGCGAAATCTTTCAAAATGGACTTAGACATAAGGGGGCTTCTAATATAGTGTAGTGTTGTAGGTCATCACATGGTCGGCCCCGTACGACTATAGCCTTTGCTTACTTCTTTTCAAATGCACTTTTCCTTTTGAAAAACTTTACACTTCTGTTTTCGTAAAAGTTCGAAAAACTTTATAAAGTTTTTACTTGTTTTTTTTTTTTTTTGAATTTCATAGGAATACATTTTTTTATTTTCAAATAAATGTCATTTTGTAATATTTACCTTGGTAAGAAAATATACCCACACACACAAAAATACAATCATATATAATATTCTATCCTTAAGTCAGGCCGCTGGTGATGAGAAGTCATTACTCTCTTGCGTAAGAGATAATTATTCGCGCTAATTGAGGTGTTAATGGGATTTTCTTTATTGCAATTGAATACCTTTGAGGAATTTTAATGGAATCGGAAGGTAATGGCGAAACGCAATACAGATTTCTTAAATATCAGAGATTATATAAAGAATTATGTTTATCTGAAATAACATCTCGCGAGTAAGTTCTCCAATTAGAATGACATCATCATCATAATCGTTAGGTTGCTGTGAAATAGAAACCAACAATAGGAAAAAAGCAAAAAAAAATACGATTATCCTTAACTTCAATTACGCAAAATGCCAATGTACGAACGACCCCGAACCCCGTCATTACGCCCTCATGCCCCACAGCCATACTAATCTGTTGCAATTATAAGACTTAATTACTAATAACCGTTCTCATGATGTTTTTTCTCTCTCTGTTTTTCAGAATTATCCTTAATGTGAAATTTTGTAATAACCCAAATAATAGCAATAATGGATTTTTGTGAAGGATATAAGGAAGAATCGAAAACCAACAAGACCATAAAAGTTCCAGGAGAACCATAAAGTGGTAGTCAGTGGTAAGCTGGCTTAAATTGAAAACTATTACAAACTTGGTCAACTCATAAGGAAGAAATCGGTAACAGCCAGCCAACCAGCCAAGCATTGAAGTGCGATTCCGGAAACCATGCGAATTCCAGTGAAGGATAATTGTTGTCATCGTTGTTGTCGTCGTTGTTCCACTTATATGGTTGGCATTCAAACCAGAACTAATGTTGATACCAAAGAAACAACGAACGCCATTTAAACGGAAAAGTTTATTTGGAAATTGAGAAGTGTTATTCTCGCTCTATCTCTCACTCTCTATCCCCATTTGTCGTGTCAGGCAGTCCGTCTAACTGACACGGCGTGACCAAAATAAGAAGAGCGCAAAAAGAAGAAGAAGAAGAAATCCCACTGATCCTCTGTCCATGTCTCTGCCATAATAACCTGCCATTAAGAAGCCAAACTAACACCAATGGCCATGTTTCGAACTTCGTATCAAAGTTTACTGTTTACATTGCTGCGTCTGTTGTTGCTGTTTGGCGATTTCAATAATTGGGCAAAGGTGAAGTTTAAAGGTAAGTAGTCGAAGATGAAGAAGTAGAAAATGAAACTCATACACATCCATACACACATATGCATTATGCTGTGAGAACTTGAAAACTTTTAAGCAGCTTAGATTGTGATTGAAAACGATAAGCAGCAAAATTGAAACTAATGAGGCAAGTTAAAAGGGAGCTTAAATCTGCAGATGGACTATCTGTGACAGTTAATGAATGAAGTTTTGCCAAAAATTGATTTGTTATTGGCAAATTTGAAATTTACAGTAAACAGGCGTAGCTGAAGTGGAAGTTATATTTAATAATTCTTTGGAATTAAATGCTAATGGGCACTAATTGCTGGGCTGTAGTATTAAGCGAATGTGTGTAAAGCTAAAATTCTTAAATCTGCAATGGGGATGACTATTAATGCGTTGGAATGAGAAATTGGCGTAATTTTAAAAATCGAAATTAAAACGTGCCATGTGCCACGGTATTCAGGGAATGGGCAAAGTTCGATCTATCAAATTCGCGGTCCGATAAAATATAAATATTGATATGTTGCGGCAAAATGTGTCCGTACTTTTAGAAATATGAAACAAGTTAAAATGTTTCGGTCGGTTTTGCCGACAGCTGTATACCCTCAGCCAATCTTCGATTATTTTAAAATCTTTTGACTTCTGGTTTGATTGATCAAATGTTTAAACCTTTATGCAGTTGGTTCCGAAGGAATTGGCCAATATTAGCCATTTCTTGTCGGACCTAAATAAATATGATATAAATATTACGACGTGCTAAGTTTGGACTGTGTTGTGTTAATGGAAATTTTGGGATGAACCAAGTCTTGAATAGAATCGGATGTCAATTTCGCTTTTTATAAGCTTCATGGATATTCAAAACTTTGAGCCTTTGTATGGAAGGTGCCAGAAGGATTGGACCGATATATCACACCTTCACAACGGATCTTTTGTTATTCCTGATTTCGGGTTTTATAAGTGTTTTGGTTATTCAAAACTTTGTTAAAACCTTTGTGGGGGAGGTACTTGATGGAGTGGACAAATAATATCCATTTTTGTACCAGACCTAGAACTGACTAAAATATTAGGATTTGCCAAGTTGGAGTAAACCCGGATTAATTGTACTCTTTCTGTGTAGAAAATATTTTTTGTTTTTGAAAATTTTGACCTTGTATGGGGGAGGTACAAGAAGGAGTAGACCGATATTGTCCATCTTAACACCAGACCTTGGGTTCATAAAATTTGCACCATGTGTGAAATTTGAAGACAATCGGGCTCTTACATTAAATTTTATGAGAGTTGTTGTTGTGAGAGTTGTTTTAGACCCTAGGCCCTAGGTTTGGACCAAATCCAATTCAGAACATTTGGAGTCGATCTAGCGATGTCCGTCCGTCCGTCTGTCTGTCTGGCTGGTGCGCACGATAACTCTCGAAGGAAGTATGCGATTTGGTCCAAAGCTGGTATATAGTAATATTTTTGTCAAACTTAGATCGAGTTCGGAAAAGGACAATATAGGTCCACTTCTTCTGGTACCTCCCCCACAAAAGATCGAAATTTTCCAAAAATATATTTTTTGCACAGAAAAAGAAAATATAATCCGATTTTGCTCCAACTTTGCAAATCCTAATATTTGCGACAGCGCTAGGTTAGGTGCGAAAATAGACAATAAAGTTGCACTCCATCAAGTACCTCCCCCACAAAGGGTCAACATTTTGAATAATTACAAGTCTCATAAAATGTGATGTAAGAGTCCGATGGTCTTCAAATTTCACACATTTCAATATATTTATGCTATCCTAAGGTCTAGTGTTAAGATGGAGTATATCGGTTCACTCCTTCTGGTAGCTCTCCCACAAATGGTCGGAATTTTCAAAAAAAAAATTTTTTTCTCCACAGAAAAAGAAACTATAATCCGATTTTGCCCCAACTTTGCAAATCCTAATATTTGCGTCAGTTCTAGGCCAGGTGCGAAAATAGATAATATCGGTCCGCTCCATCAAGTGCTTACCTCACAAAGGGTCAACATTTTGAATGATTACAACTCTTATAAAATGTGATGTAAGAGTCCGATTGTCTTCAAATTTCACACATCCCAATAATTTTATTAGTCCAAGGTCTGGTGTTAAGACGGAGTATATCGGCCCACTCCTTCTGGTGCCTTCCCCGCTACTTCGTCCGCAAAAAAGACCACCTTAAAATGTTTGATTCATTCCAGGGACTCTAGTACGAAATTTCAGTGGTCCTACTGATAGAGTCCACATTATTTAATCTAGAGCTTGGGTATTTGGCGCAAAGGTTTATATTTATGCAATCTGATTGGCCTACATTGGTCCACGTTTAGATAACGTTATCTCCCGATTTTCGCTATTTTGAAGGTGTCTCCCACCATTTCCAATAAAATTAGCTGAAACTTGGCGATTGGGGTTCTCGATAGGTTTATTCTCTAATACCGAGTATCGAGAGGTACCGTTACATGGAGACTATACCAAAACGTGGACCGATATATCATATATATTAATATCAACCATCCTAGACACAATACAAATTGTTTTGTAAATTTTGAAGCTCTACGTCAAATGATGTGGACTGTATCGTGATTTCAACAGACAGAGAGACGGACATCTCTAAAACGATTTAGAATTTTCGGCTAAATATAAATATATATATTCTTTATGGGGTCTACGACGAATATTTAGGGATGTTGCAAACGGAATGGCAAAGTTAGGGTATATTAACTTTCCACCTTTTCAAGGTGGATGTTATAATAAAAGCGATTGGTTTCAGTGCTCTACCTTTATTTCATTGTACCATGGAGAAAGCCTATGTATACTGAGAGCATCTAAGAGAGAGAATTTGTCTACAAAATGGTAGAGGGAGAATCTTTCTTGATTTCTATCTACATCCCACATATTCAACTTGGAATACACTATCGTTACCATTGCGTTCGTATGCTGAATATATTATTTTCTGTTTTCAACTATCGGTTCAAGGTGACAAGAAGTCGCCTACTTATCTTGGTATGACTGTATTAATGTAGCCCGTTTTGCTTGCACCTGATCAGAAGTAACGATCTTTCATATATGACACTTAAGATGGAAACAATGTCCTTTACGAAATTATCAATAATTGTGACTAGAAGGGGGCAAGCAATCGAGAACCAGCAGTGGATGCCTTGATTCGGCATTCGTTCTTCACAGATTTAGTTCTATGAAAGAGCTCTAACACCAGAAAAAAAAAACAAAGGGATGAACTAGCCTCTTTGCAATTACCTCATCCTTTTCTCATCCTCTTGATCGTCTACGGTTAAATAGCCTTATTTGAGATTGATGACAGTCTTACTGATGACAGTCTTTGCAGTCTTTCTGCCTTCTTTTTATACCTTCCACTATAGTATGGAGGTATATTAAGTTTGTCATTCCATTTGTAACACCTCGAAATATACATATTAGGCACCACAAAGTATATATATTCTTGATCAGCATAAAATTTATGTCGATTTAGCGATGTCTGTCCCTCTGTGGAAATTACACTAGCTTCCGAACGAATTGAAGTAGATTGATAAGGTTTTACTCAAATGCATATTATGTCTACAGGACTTTTGGTATTGAAAATGGACTATGTAGGTCCACGTTTTCATATAGCGCCCATATAACGGTACCTCCCGATATTGGGTATTTTGATGATTTTAGCGACATTACGCACTGGAATTGTTTCAAATTTGGCATTTGAAGTTCGAAGTGGACACTAACGCCTAAGACAGAAAATTGTCTTCGTATAGCCCCCATACAACGCTACCTCCCGATATTCGGTATTTTGATGATTTTATTTCGAAATGGATACTACAGCCTAAGACAGAAAATTGTCCGTGCAGGTCCACGTCATCGTATAGCCCCCATATAACGGTACCTCCCGATATGCGGTATTTTGATGATTTTAGCGACATTACTCACTGGAATTGTTTCAAATTTGGCATTTGAAGTTCGAAATGGACATTACCGCCTAAGACAGAAAACTGCCTCGTATAGCCCCAATACAACGGTACCTCCCGATATTCGGTATTTTGATGATTTTAGCGACATTTTTTACGGAATTATTTAAAATTTCGTATTTGAAGTTCGTAATGGGAACTACAGTGTAAGACAGAAAATTGACTGTGCAGGTCCAGGTCTTCGTATAGCCCCCATATAACGGTACATCCTGATATTCGGTAATTTGATGATTTTAGCGACATTATTTACCGGAATTATTTAAAATTTCGTATTTGAAGTTCGTAATGGGAACTAAAGTCTGTGACAGAAAATTGTCTATGCAGGTCCAGGCCTATATTCGGTATTTTGATGAGTTTAGGTACAATACCCACCGAAATTGTTTGAGTTGTGGTATTTGAAGTTCGTAATGGCTGCTACAGCCTTTGGTAGAAAATTGTGTATGCTGGTTCAGGTCTTCGCACAGCTCCGATATAACGCTACCTCCCTTTATACGATATTTTGATGATTTTAGTTGCATTATTCGCCGTTTATTTCAAGTTTCCATTTTGAATATGGTAATGACTTATGACAAACAATGCCCATGTAGGTCCACGTCGTATAGACACCAATATAACGGCTATATTAGGTATTTTTAAAATTTTAACAGAATTTTTTAAGGATTTTACTTCCAAATTCGTTCTAAATGGTGGAGGGTATTCAAAGTTCGGCCCGGCCGAACTTACTGCTTTTTAACTTGTTTTATGCTGATTTCGTTGACGAATATAGCCAAGTATCGTGGACAAGCAAATCATATAGGTGAGTCTACCTTTGGAGATACAGAAGGGTATTTTGCTTTTGAAGATGATCGCAAAACAATTCAAAAATCGAAATCTTCCAAAATGGATTTAGACATAAGGGGCTTCTAACAAATTGCAGTGTTGTAGGGTATCACATGGTCGGCCCCGCACGGCTATAGCCTTTGCTTACTTATTTCTTTCTCTTCACTGTTCGTCTTTTGTTTGGTTTCCATAGTCGACGCCGATCTGTCATCTCT